TCTTCAAGAGAATTTTGTTCTTTACATAGTTGGGAATGAGTTAGGTCAAAATTTCACTGTACTATCCTTCTTTACAACGTATTTGAATTCAGAAAAGTCAGCACAGGTCAAAACACACCATTTAAAAATACCACTCTTTACCTTCAAGAGTATGTATACATAAGAAAAGGAAAGACACAAAGCCCTACCAAGGATTTATGGTCCCTTGATTACAAGAGAACTCACCAAGTTCAGTATTTGAACTAGCTCTTTTTTTTTGGGGGGGGGGGTAACTCCCAGCTTTCTGTTGCTGCCTATCAAATTATCTAAAAATTTAGCAGCTTAAAATAATAAACATTTATTATCTCATACAGCCTCTGCAGGGCAGAAGTTGACGAATGGCTTAGGTGGGTGGGTCTTGGCTCAGGGTCTCTCACGAGGTCAAGTTTTGAATAGGACTAGTCATCTAAAGGACCAACTGGGGTGGGAAGAGATGGCTTCCAAGACGGCTTACTCACTGGTCTGGAAAGGTAGAGCTGGCTGTTGGCAGGTGGCCTCAGTTCCTTACCACACAGGTATTACAGAAGGCTGCTTAAGTGTCATCATGACACACCAGCTTGCTTCCTCCCGAGTAACCAAGACAGAGGGAACAAGGGAAGACCCACAACTCTCATGACCCAGTCTTGGAAATCACATACCCTCACATCTGCCATACTCTCTTTTGGGAAAATTTAATATAAAAAATTATTAACTAGTAACAGGGTGTTAGAGTAAAGACAACTCCAAAGAATACAGAAGTAGCAGTTACAGGGAGAAGCCACTACCTTTGAGACTGAGGCAGAGTACTCAAGGGAAGAGACTGGGAAGAATCCTCCCACCCCCACTGCCAGGATGAGATTCAAATCTTACTAGGGAGAGGATAGTTATGGCCCACTGGATGGTGAAGTTTGCTGAGGTGCTACAGGTTTGGGCTGGCAAGTAGGAAACTGCCTGCTAAGGTGCCACTGAACTCACTGGGAAGCACTCTCTGGATGTTCCAACCACACGTGTGCATGTGTGGGTTCTGCAAGCCATTTGCTGCTGTGCCACAAAGGCAAGAAGGAAGAGACTATTCCGGAACAGGGAACAAGACCCTTCATTTGGCTGCCTCCCTCTAGGGCTCTCTATTGACAAAGTTAAGCACTGTCAGCTGGCAATATTTACAAGGTCCCACTTAGTATTTCAAATCATGGAAAGGAAGGGTGGATTTGGAACTGAGAGGCTATAAATTGCTAATAGGCACTTACAGGCTCTGCTACAGAAAAATGTATGTATTTGATTATGAAATGCTGTCCGAAACCTCTTGGGAGTATCACATTATATATACAGTATGTACATCACACTGCCTTTGTACAATATGAACAATTCTGAATTTTGAAGCATATCTGGACCTCAAGGTTTTGGTTGAGGGATCATGGACCTGTATCAGTTTGTTTTTGTCATGTCATATAAACCCCATGGTCTTCTGCCATTGTCTATGACAAATCTAATTGCCAGTTGCTATCAAGCCTGAAGCAATAAAAAAAATATCTAAGTACCTAAGTAGTTGTTTGAGGAGAGGAAAGAGCACAGTGATAAGTCTTGGCTCAGCTTGCCTCTTATACAGCTTGGGAATGATTTCTATCATATACACAACTTTTTCATCTCACTGAGCTCCTAGAATTTGACCCAATAATATTAGTACTTTTTTCCTCTTAAGGTGGGATATGGTTTTAATAAAAGGGTAGAAACCTTGAGGTATCTCCATTATAGTTCCAATGCCCAAGGTTGCAAACTCAAATATCTATACCGGTTAAGTGTACAAGTTAAACAAGATGCAGATATAAGGCAACAGGGAACAGTGCTAACAGTGGCAATCTATAGAGTTCATGCTTTACATAAAGAAGGGAATTGCTATTCACGTGCATGTGTGCTAAGTTGCTTCAGTCATGTCTGACTCTCTGCAACCCTATGGTCTGTAGCCTGCCAAGCTCCTCTGTCCATACGATTTCCCAGGCAAGAATACTGGAGTGGGTTGCCATTTCCTTCTCCAGGGGATCTTCCTGACCCAGGGATGGAAACTGCATCTTGTAGATCTCCTTCAGAGAAGGCAATGGCACCCTACTCCAGTACTCTTGCCTGGAAAGTCCCATGGACGGAGGAGCCTGGTGGGCTACAGTCCATGGGGTCTCGAAGAGTTGAACACGACTGAGCGACTTAATTTTCACTTTCATGCATTGGAGAAGGAAATGGCAACCCACTCCAGTGTTTTTGCCTGGTGAATCCCAGGGATGGCGGAGCAGGTGGGCTGCCGTCTATGAGGTCGCAGAGTCGGACACGACTGAAGTGACTTAGCAGCAGCAGCAGCAGATCTCCTGCACTGGCAAGGAGGCTCTTTACCACTAGAGCCGCCTAGGAAGCCCCAATTCTATTTAACCCCTGCATAATGCTGCCATGCCCATCTAATACAACCAGATAATCTAATTTTTCAAGACAATTTAGAAATTCAGATTTGAAAATGTGTTAACTGTCAACTTTGAAACAATAAAAAAGACAGTGCAGGACAAACATACATAAAGGGGGTTCATATTTAGCTTGTGATTCCGACCCTAGCCCCATGTGGTAGTACCTGTGGCAAGTGCCGACACTTTAAAGGTCTTGATTGGCTGTTACATTAGTGGCCCCCAGTGAACCGTGCCTCTGAACTCACAACCATGTATAGGCCCTTTCCACACTGACTCTGGGCTTGACCATCTGGCTGGTCTTAGCCAATGGAATGTGGGCAACCAAATCTTGGTAAGCATTTGCTCACTGGGGCTTGTCCTCTTGGAAGCCAGTCACCATACAGAATCCTGAATGGTAAGAAGCTGGTAAAGAGAGGTCCTGGAGGATAAGAAACTGTTTTGATGAGCTCTCGGCTGATAGCATTCCCATGAGTAACCTCAGCTTAAACTATGTGGGCCCAACTGAGTCCAGTTAACCCACACAATGTAAATAATAAGAAAGCACTGTTATTTTAAGCTACTATGTCTTGGAGGTGGTTTATAAGATGCAGTATGTAACTGAAACAGAGGTCATTTATTTTAACCCCTTTATTCTACTAATGAACGTCTCAAGGCTCAGAGAGGCAAAGAGTATGGTGAAAATCAGACACCGAGTTAGCAGCAATAACTTTCTAATTCTGTGCTCTTTCGGTTCCTTTGGTGGGAAGCAGCAGATAAGGACTATGAAACTCAAAATCTACCTGCACAAAACTTTACACTGTGTCCTGCCTGCATAAAAATTACTCTAATAACTTGATCCTTGGAAATGGAACGATTTCTAGGTCATCTAGTTCCTTCACATTACAGGTGCAGAGAATGCAAAACACTTGAGAAAGGCCGACATCTGGAAGCTGGCCTGACACAATCGGACCGGTAGTAATGCTATTAAATGATAAACCTGGCTGTCTTAGCTAGGCTTTGTGTTCCTCTGTTAAATATAATCTCACAGAACAATTAACGTTAGACAAAGCCATTCTGTGACCATGAGAGATCAATACAAAAGCAATACCACTCCTTAATTACATTTGAATAGAGATAAAAGATATACATTGTCCAAACCATAAAAAGTGACCAAACATCCCCCAACCTGGCTAATGAGGGACTCCTGCTTCTATACCAATTAGAGCTTTAGTCTCATTCTAGCCTTTCTTCTTTCTAGGTAAGGTTTATCGAGGTACCTGATCAGAGAATTACCCCACTTCCTGAAAGCATCTTATCCAGAATGAAGCCCTACTTCCTTAAACCCTCTTCCAAATCACCCGACAACTCCTGAGATGGCTCTACAGTTCTTCATGGGGCCTGTCCTCCCTTCCTGCACCCAGTAGTAAACTCAACTTGTTCAGCTATCGGTGTGCCCTTGCTCCCCTTTGGTTAGAGGGTACTGACAGACTTGACAAAGTTCACACAGAGCTGAAGGCAGAATTCACTGGAAGGAGTCTCCAGCTCTATTCCTTCTTAGCACCTGTCACTCTAGCGATTAACGCCTGTCTTCCCCTCATTAGAATTAAGCTCCTTGAGCAGAGAGGCCTTGTCTGTAAGGTTCAGAGTTGAATTTTCAGTGCCTACCCTGGTACGCAGCAGAGGCTGGAAGTTTAAAAACATATTTTCTGAAAAATGAATTAAAGGGGCTCAATATACACAGATCCCGTTTCATTTCTCAGTTCCTCCCCGTACGTGGTGCATACAGACCATAAACCTTCTCTTCCCCTACTAACTTTCCTAACACTCACTCCTAGGACGCCTATACTCTCAGAGCCTACCCCTCTGCCTGAGATTCTCCCGCTCGTTGGCCCCTCTCCCGCGCCTGAGCCCCAAGACCACCTCCTCCTGTCGCACGTCGAACCCACCTGTCGCCCACACTTCACCCTATCGCAAACGCTAGCGGACCAGCCGCGCCGCTACTTCAGCGTCGACTGGGCGCTGCAGACATCGAACGCGCATGTGCGGAAACCGGTCGCGCACGCAGTATCTCCGACAAGTGAAGAGTTGCCTCGGAGTTTCGGTGCCGGTCTGGGTAGCCTCGGGCTGCCAGGAAGTCAGGAGAAGCTAGCCGGAAGGAGAACCCGAGAGCAGGGCTTTCTGGGACATGTAGTTGGGGCGCTGCCGAGGCCCTACTTTGAGAGAGCCCTTAATTCTTTAGGTCTGCAAGTCTCGCATTCTCAGTGCAGTGCTGCTTTTCGCATCGAATTCCGCTTCGAGCAGCCAGCAGAGTGGCCTGCCTTCGGACTCTCGTTCCCACAACGCTCTGCGGGGCCCCGCGGCGCCTGCCGGGAGCTGTAGTCCTCGCTCTGCGTACTGCGTTCGCCGAGGGGGAGGGCGGAGCTGCCGGCGGCCCGGGCGGGCTGGCAGCGAGAGTGGGTGCGAGAGCCGCCTCCGCCTCTGCCGCCTCCGCCGTCGCCTCCTCCGCCCGGGCCGTTCGCTGCTGCGCGGGGAGAGCGAGGCGGGGCCGCCGGGGCCGCCATGGAGCCCGACTCGGTGATTGAGGACAAGACCATCGAGCTCATGGTGAGTGCGGCCCGCTGGACCGTCCGTTCTTCCGTCCGACCGGCCCCGGGCGGGCCTGCCCACCTCAACGTCCGGCGCGAGGCCACCCCTGGCCCTTCCCTGCTGCCTCGGCCCGGACCTGGACCCCCCGCCTTGCCTGGCCTCTGGCCCGGTGCGGTTCCTCCGGATCCCTCGAACTCGCAGGCCGGACCTGGCCCGGCCCCCTCCATGCCCCTCGGTTTTCCTCCCACCCTCCCTCCAATCTCTGGGCCCGTCCCTCGAACGACCCTCGCTCGCTCAGGCTGTGGTCTTAGCTCACACTCAACTCTAGCATCCCGTTCCCCCTTTGGAAGGTATTTTTTTTTCCTTCCCTGTTTCTCCGGTCCAGGCCTGCATAGCTCTTGCCAGCTCCACTGAGGCCGAGTGAGATGGTGATGGGAGAGGGTACAGCGTAGATCGACAGGGCCGTGGCCTCCGCATCCCGGAAGGGGTCTCAGCACCCTCTTCATGACCTGGGGCTGTATTAGTGCCGGCATCGGCCCTATGGGGGTGGAGGTGGAGAGCTCTCGGTTGGAGGCTGTGACCGAAAAGGGGCCTCTTTCCCGGCCCCCTGTGGTGTCCGGCTTCTCGGACAAAGGGTTTCCTACTCGGCCAAGAGGGATGTTTGCAGAGCAAGGCCCTAGGTACTCTGGATTCCATCTCCCTGGAAAGAGAGACTGTAACTTCACGTTTTCCTGAGCTGCTTTGAGAAATTGGGGAGGAGGGGGGAGGGGCTGTCCTCATCACTGCCGCCAGTTCTTTCTTCTAGAAAAAAAAGAAAAGGGGGAGCCTACGGCCCAGGGGAAGCGATCACTCTTCTGTTTAGGAGCCTTTGGTAGCCAGGCCAGACTCCCTGAACCCACCCAACAAACACCCCAGCCCCCTTCCGCCTTAGGACGTGGATCCAGAATGGGTTTTTAGAAACAGGATCACGAGAGAGTGGCTAGTAGAAACGAAAAATTTGCTACTTGGTGGATGATTTGGTTCAAAAAGTAAAATATGGCAGCTGTTACTGCCAGTTTGAACACTAGGGAAATCAAACTGGGCTCTGGAGAGTTGGGAGGGGGAAGTCTTTGCCTCAGCAAATGAACATGCCCAGGTTTTCTTCCTGTGGAAACCTTGACAGTTTCTTTGTATCTCCAAACAGTAACCTCTTCTACCCTAGGGTTGAGAAGAAAGATGAAAGAATCTAGTTAACATAGCAAAATGTTTTCCTAGCCAGGTTTTCTCCAGTGTGAAAATGTTTATTGAGTCAGTGATTCCACTGGGTAGGGTCGGTGACATCAGAGCTACTTCCCCCATTTAATGCTATAAATAATAAATGGTGACACTGAAAGTCTGTTGGATAGCTGCATGGTTTCTGTGGATGATGGTGTCTGGGGAGTTGAGATGCATGTTTTAAAAATGGAAGTACAGTAGCGTAAACACAGAGGCAGCTTAATGTTTGCTGTCCTTAGCATAATTCACTGCACTTCTCCAGCAGTCTTGGAAATTAGAGGGCCAAAAAAAAAGCTCTTGTAGTTTCTGATTTGTGTGTGTGTGTGTGTGTGTGTGCATGTAAGCACACGTGTGTGTGCATGTAAGCACACGTGTGGTTGCCTTCTAAGGGATACTGATATGAGTTTTTATTTGATTTTCACTTATTGGTAACTTTTCAGTACAACTTATCAAACTTTTGTAACCAAGCTTTTGATACTCTGCAAATTTTGTACGGGTTATTTTCGTAAAATATCCTAATGGAATTACACATATAGTACATATTTTTACATATGTATAATACCTGTACTTACAACAGGAGGAGTACGGCATAGCAAAAAATTGAAACTTGGTATCTCTTTGAAATTGGCTGTTAAATTCTCCTTCCATTTCCATTCATTTAAAAAATAAGTAGGGACTTCCCTGGTGATCCAGTGGATAGGACTCACTGCGGAGGGCCCTAGTTCTATCCCTGGTCAGGGAACTAAGAATCCACAAGCTGCACGGCACAGCCAAAAATAAAATAAAATAACTAGAATTTTTTTTCAAAAGAATTAAAGTACAGTGTAATCCATTTAATGTCTTTGAATGGATATGGAAAAAAAAGTCTCTTCCTAAATATAACTGGCTTCCTGTGCATTTTAATTTTGCATGATTGTACTTGTCTGATCTGAAAAGATATTTCAGACTTTTCAGGGACATTATTAAGTGGGATTCTTAGAAAATTTAACAGAGAAGATTTAATAAGCTAATCATCTGGATCAGTTTTAAAAGTGGCTTTTCATATACAAATTGTGATATTCCCTCAAAGGGCTACCAGTTAAGATTCTTATGCAACTGTTTCATAAACATATATATTTATTTTAGTGTTATAGATAGCACAGATACTTAACAACTGATTTACTAAATCCAGGATCAGGTGTAGGAATGATAATGCCTTAAAATCTAATTGCACGTGGCTTTCTGTATTCACTGCATTTTAATTATAGTTTCCAGAACTAGATTAAAAACACTTTTTACATTGGTTTCAAAATAACATGATGAAAGGAGGAGAAGGGGTTAAACTGATGGTATTTTGAAAGCCTAAAGCATGAAATATTTTTAGATTTTTATGAGTCAGCTTCAGTACTCAAATATTTGTGATTGTGCTGCCTGTACCAGTTTGGTACTTAATGGTTAACAGGATAACTTTCAATTGATATTCAAGAGTGTACTCTATCAAAGAAAGGAAACAGGGTTTCACCAATTTCTTAATCTTCATCCCTCTGCTTTCTTTGATTTTGATTTCTCCTTCCTTTTTTTCTTGCACTTTTTCAGTTTCCTAGGAAATAAAACTGGTGGTAGAATAATTAAATATTCAAAATATAACCCCCATTGTTACTCCTACCCCTGCCTGGGACCAGGTTCACAAAAAGTGCTTCTCCAGCTGACCTACCTCATAGGATTCAGTCTTTAATATACACTGTAAACTCTTGATGGAGACAACTGAATTTATAATTCCTGGTGGTGAATAATTTAACCATCAGATGACTTTTGTGGTCTTACATTGGCCCAGTATGTACCTAGTTTGTGGGACTGCTTCTTAACTTCTGACTTTGGTTTTCAGTTCAGTTTGCTCAGTCGTGTCCGACTCTGCGACCCCATGGACTGCAGCACGCCAGGCTTCTCTCTCCGTCACCAACTTTGGTTTTAATTAGCCTTAATATTACTGAGGTAGAAAAGGAGTAAACCATTTGGAAATACACAGAAGTTCACTGGGCTTTGTCTAATGTGGTGGACTTCACTGGGAAGAATGAAAGCTGCATTATGTATCACATGATATTTATTGCTCGAATTAGAAGTATGAGTTGTGCTCAGGCCCTTATTACTAGAAAGCATTCCCAGATCTGCTAATTGGAAGAATGGTCATTAGGCCTGCCTGTTAGAAAACAGCAAAAGTTAATGTTAAAGGTTGGGGAAAGATAATCCTGCTTCCTCTCTGGGTGTGAGAGAACCCCTTTCCCCCTTTACTCAAGTAATGGGCAGTTAATCCTCTGTTGTGAGCTGCTGAGTGGCTCGCTTCTCGGCCAAGTGACCTTAAGTGAATCATTTCTCTTCTGGTTACCTCTGAATGGCTCTATTACTTGGTGAATGTAGTAATATAGGTAAAATACATTGGATCTCATTAAGAACGTGTAATATCAAATCTATTTTTAGAGCTGTTGAAGTACAGACAAGCCACAAGACCAAAGAGATGAACGAAACTAAATGACATTATTGGAAGTAATTTTCTTTTTTTCTTTTTACATCTCTCCCCCTGCGCCCCCTTCTTGTCTTTGGCTTTCTAAGTGGAATAAGTGGGATTGTTTAGTGACTCCTTTAAAAAATCGGGTCTTTGTCACCATCACTTATCCTCATCTGCCTTTAGCCATGTGCTGCTTTACCAAATGCAGGTTAAATAGACAAAGGCTTAAGTAGGGTCCAAATGAAATAAATCACACGCTATTTATAGACCTCACTGACTGGCCTCAAGAGGCTTATGACTCAAATATTATCAGTTTTTATTCCTGATTTTGGAGTAGGTTAGATGTTCTTTCAGATTTGATAAGGATAAACCTGATCCTGCTCACACATCTTGGCACTGACTCCTAAAAACTGAGAGAGCTCTATAGCACAGGAGAATTGCTAGCTCATTTCATAGCTTTACAGAACAGCACGTGTATTCCTCTGAGTAGTACTGTTTGGTCCTATGAATTTTAGAAACAGACGTTCCTGTGCTGTGAGGTGCCTGGGATCTTGGGTTCCACCTGGTGATATTTACAGTTTAAGGGAAAGAAAGCATTTGAAGTCCTCACAATTGAGATTCCTGCCTCCTTTCCAGCTTTTTCTTCTCACATTCCTCACTTATTCTATATTCCAGCCAAAGTGTGGAGGATCATTGTTTTTCAGATTTCCTTTGTCAGCACTGATATAAACTGACCTAAGCCCATGTATCTCAAGCTACTGATATTAATGGGAAGGACCTAATAGCTCTCCAGCCAAGTTGATTTAGGTGAGATCTCAGCAATCCTCTCTTCCACCCATGTTGATAACATCCTCTCCTCTCAGAACACAATTTAGATACCTCTTCTTGATGTCAATTTATGTTATGGTGGCAGATATAATTTTGTTTTTCTGTCGATAGCAATGCCTACATGCTAATCATTGTTAAATGAATGAGTTCTGGCACTTTGTATTTATCTTGTGGCACTTAACATATTCTGGGCTTGTATTATTGTTTACTGTTTGTGTCCCCTATTAAATGATAAACTCCTCAACAGTGCCTTCTTGTAGTAGGTGTTCAGTAAATGTTGAGTTGAGCTTTCCTGTTGGTTGCTTACATGTATTATTGCTGTCTGCCTGTATCTTAGCCATCCTCTTTTCTGGAAATTGTCACCTATATCACTAATTCTCATAATAACTTGTTCCTAATGCATATGGGACTTACCAAACCTTCCTGTGTATCTTGAAAGTTTGATCATGTCTAA